AGCAATTTCCCCATCAAAACCTAAAACAAAAAACCAAAACTTGCCCAATTAAATCGACAAACATTTCAAAGTGTGATGGGTTTTGACCTAAAAACAACAGGATTTGGTGGAGCTAGAAGTGAAAAGATGGACAAGTAAAGGAATAAACATAAAGTACGAGATCAGGGACAACAGAAATGGTTACAAAGCAGGGGCTCTGAAAGAAGGAATGAAGCACAGTTATGTCAAACAGTGTGACTTTGTCGCCATCTTTGATGCTGACTTCCAACCTGACCCTGATTTTCTCTGGCGCACCATTCCATTTCTCATCCATAACCCTGATGTTGCTCTTGTCCAAACCCGTTGGAAATTCGGTAATTATTATTATTTCTTCTTAATTACCATTATTGTTTTATTATTATTATTATTATTATTATTATTATTATTATTCCTATTCTACTTACTTAAACTTGTTTAATTAGTGCGAGCCATACTTTAAGTGGAATGTGAGTTGATTGCTTCTTAAACGTATTAATTAGTTTGGGTTCCTTAAATATATAAACCTAGATAGAGCTTAAAAATATGATAAGACCGTGGCGTAGCCAAGTTGACTATAATAGTGTGCTACACTCTCTGGATCCATGTTCGAATAAGAAGAGAAGTATTAGTACATATTTGTTAGCATAACATCATAAAGGTTTTTCTACTTTGAAGCTTAAGAAACTCAATCCACGATTAGTTGAGCACTTGAGAATTTGAGGGATTTTAAAAAATTCTGTGGATGTGTGATTGAGTTTGTTTAGATTCTGTCATAAAATATCTATTTACCTTTTGACGAAGAGGATAGCTCTTTACCATCTAATATAAAATAGAGTTGTAAAAACACACAAGGGTAAAGGTGTGATGATGATTTCTTGGTGGTGTTGCAGTAAATTCTGATGAGTGCTTGATGACAAGAATGCAAGAGATGTCATTAGATTACCATTTCACGGTGGAGCAAGAAGTGGGGTCTGCAACTCATGCCTTCTTTGGTTTCAATGGTAAAGCGCGCACTTCTTAAAAATTGACGGAAATATAAAAAGGTTTTCAGTTTCCCCAATTGACGACATGGGAGAATGTGTGATGCAGGCACGGCTGGCGTGTGGAGAATTGCAGCGCTCAATGAGGCCGGAGGATGGAAGGACCGCACAACTGTGGAGGATATGGATTTAGCTGTCCGAGCGAGTCTAAGAGGGTGGAAATTCATATATCTTTCTGACCTTAAGGTAATCAAATTTGCCAAACGATAACAGTCTTGTCAAAATATCGAGAAATCTTAGCTACCTACGTTTACAAGATGCTGGATTTAATTATGCCTTAAGAAAGACAATTTCCATGATAATCATCTCCTGCTATTGAGGTTTCGAAAATTACCTTGCAAATGAAAAACTGTACCGTTTTTGTAGAAATCCGGTCACAGAAAATCCCTTCTTTACTTACTAACCTTCTGAGTAGAGAGTACCTTGCAGACAATTTTCCGTTGGTCTTTGCCTGTTCAGTGATATTTCACTTTTGATCCAATATTAATAATTATGTACATTTCAGGTGAAAAATGAATTGCCAAGTACTTTCAAAGCCTACCGTTATCAACAGCACCGATGGTCTTGTGGCCCTGCTAATCTCTTCCGAAAGATGGCGATGGAGATTGTAAGAAACAAGGTAAATTAAACATCACCGGCCGGAAACACATTTCTATTTTGTTTCTGCCTAAATTTAAAACCAAGTCACAAGGGCCGAAGTACTATATCTTTTTATTTCTCCATACTCACTGCTACTTTATAATATTATGCAGAAGGTGTCCCCAATGAAGAAGTTTCATGTCATCTACAGCTTTTTCTTTGTGCGCAAAATTGTAGCACATGTTGTCACCTTTGTCTTCTACTGTATCATTTTACCTGCAACGGTTTTTGTTCCTGAAGTTCAAGTTCCCATTTGGGGTGCTGTTTACATTCCGTCCACCATTACTCTCCTCAATGCTGTTGGAACTCCAAGGTCTTTCTTGTTTCAAACTATGACAAACTAAAGCCTATCTCTGCATTAACAGATAATGCAATAGATGTTTTCGTGCAAAGTTAACTATTGATTACTAATACTTTCAAAGGTCATATTTACAGATCACTCCACCTATTAATTTTCTGGATCCTCTTCGAGAATGTCATGTCTCTGCACCGGACCAAGGCAACACTTATAGGTCTGTTTGAAGCAGGGAGAGTAAACGAATGGGTCGTCACTGAGAAACTGGGGGATGCTCTAAAAACAAAATCAGGTGCAAAAGCTTCGAGGAAACCTCGAATAAGGATTGGAGAAAGGTATATGATTCTTTGCCTTTCGTTTCACTTGTTAATCCATATGTCCATAATTCCTTTCATAGAAAACATCATCGGGTAATTCCTTACGTAAAATGCTACATCTGTTTTGAAAGCGAGGATATGAAGTTTACGTTTTCTGTTCTTATGATTACCAATAACAGACTGCATATGGTTGAACTCATTGTTGGATTCTACCTCTTTCTCTGCGGGTGCTACGATCTTTCATTTGGAAAGAACGGCTACTTCATCTACCTGTTCATCCAATCCATGGCATTTTTCATTGCGGGGGTTGGTTACGTTGGCACCTTTGTCCCCAACCCATAGCCATACGCATTGCCCGAATTGTTTCAAGACTTCGTTTATCAACGTCCCTTCTGGCATTGTCGTCGGAGAGATCGAAGATACACGGTGTGGTTTGATGCTGTTTATAGGCTGGTCATTCTTTTATTAAGTTATTTCTTTGTGGACAGTGTAGGAAAATACGAGGATGAGAGCGCAGGGAGAGTACGTTGTGAGTGTATTGGAAGAGCATTATATACTGTAAACAAGCAGCAATAACATATGGATTTTGTCACGAGAATTATGTAATTGGAAGGGCTACTGATTTGTAATAACAAATTATATGGGATTTTGCTTGGGAATAATGAAGGTGGTATCATTTATCAAAATTAAATTCCTATCTTTTTACAGCAGCTAGTACTACAATTTAATTATATTTTTCTTCACTTATAAGTAAGAGGTCTTAAGTTTTGATAAATTAGTAAGAATACAGTGCAGCTGATTAGTAAGAGTATATGCTATTTGATATATGTAATATTTATTCCAAATAAATACATAATTTCCTTTAATATAGAATAATTTTGCTCACCACCCTCAACCTCAAGTGATGGTGATGGTCACTATCCTATTTATCACCATTAGATGAGTTTAAGTTTCAAGATTTGTGTAGTGAATAGACACAAGTATCAAAATGTTAACTTGTCCAACGATAATAAGTAGGGTAGTGAGTATTACGACCACTTAATGATGATAAGCAAAAATATAGCTTTACTAAGTGTAGAGAAAATACTAGAAATGACCCATCAACTAAAAATCCATGACCATTGATTCCTTAACTCCTCAAAACATGCAACTATAATTCTGTTCATTAAATCTGTTAAAACTTCCGTCAAAATGAGTCACATGTCACGCACATGAGGCTGAATCAAGAGACAAATATGAGAAGCTAAATAAATAAAAAAAATTGTAGAAATTGTCCCTCAACTTTAACCCAATTGTAGAAATGATTATTCAAACATGACTCATTTTGACAGAAGTCCTGATACAGTTGACGAAAAAGATCATAACTGACATTTTAAGGAGTTAAGGGATCAATAGTCATGAATTTTAATTGAATGACCATTGCTCTAATTAAGGTAAAGTTGAGAGACTATTATTACAATTTCCTCTTAATTGTACAATCTTGATCGAAACAGAATAGAACAACACATGGATGATGGATGCGAAGATGAAAACTAACATTCCGGCTCTCAAGTCACATCAGCTTGGTCCTCAATTGCATATTACTGACTTATCTTCCAAACAACTTAAGCATACCAAACTTACGGAAAATGTGAGGCAAGAATAAAATGTTGAACATGGTTCGCATGAAGAAGAAAATGTTAAACATGGTCCACACGAAGACTTACTCTGTTAATAATTGCATCTCGAGTTTAAACCCTCAACTTTTTCTTTAATCTAACTTTAGAGTAATATAACTTGTAATAAAAAACATCATGACTTGAAATAGATTAATGTATCTGTTTTAATATTAGTGGATTTATAGATCAATACTGTAAAATAAATTAAATAAAGATGACTGAAGCATAATGTATATTGGAAGTGATCCACAAATAAGAGAAAAACATGAAGAAGAAATACAGTAAAATCTCTATGAATGAATACTATGGGGACTAAAAAAAATTATTATCAATTTATCGAACATTCATTTATCAAGGTATTACTGTAGAATCCACAAAGTGAGGGAAAAGATGAGTGAACTTTCTGTGCATCTTAAAATCTGCTTATATATATTTCCAAATTTTTTTGGTCAAAAAATTACACATTTCCAGTTAGTTACAATCAGAACAGCAATTTCTCACCCTGCAATATTTGTACTAGGGAACACATCTCAGACTCATTTCCGTCTGCCTAAACTTCTACCTTTCCCCTTAACCGAAAAATAAAAACTTCTACCTTTCCCCTTAACAGAAAAATAAAAACTTCTACTTTTCCTCCTACAAGATGTAACAAATTAGAAATCTAAAACAACCAGGAGAAAATGTTTCACTGGTGGGACGATGATCATGTTCAACACCTCCTGTATAAATCTAAAGTTTTGTAGCCCGGTTAACCGCCTATGAAACTCCAAAGTTAAAAGAAATTTGGGAATTCAGCATATGCTACAATGAAGTTGGAAGTATATGAAGTGAAATAGGAACCCAGCACAAGTACAGCATGTAGCGCCATCATATAAAAACACCGAGGATAGCGCCAGAAACCCGTTGCACTTAAAGAAGTATCTCCACCTGGCCATGTTAAATTGAAAAAAAAAATCCATATCCTGAACAGTCTGAGAAAAAGAACATTGTTCCGACTTGTAGAATGTGTGAACCAACCAGAACATCAGGAAACTAAAGTATAAAGTCAATGTGTGTATGAATTTAAAACAGAAATCATAAACCTACAAAACTGAACCAGCCAGATTAGTAAATGCAGTTGAACTCCAATAGCTGGCCTGGAATAAACATTTATTCAAATCATTATCCCTAAGAAGCTGGCATTGCTAGTTGACTCCTCGTCATCAGCCAGCAGTTGCCGGACTAGCCTACCTTTTCCTTCAGCCTAGCTCTAAACCTATCATTACTTGAATCAAGGTCATTGTAGCACTACCAAACTTGAGACATGTTCGTCATCAGTGAGACTCTTCCCTCACTCCCAATGCAAGCTCTTCTACGACAATGTGACTTATTTAATCTAAAAGGAAATTGTGTTTTATATAAACCATATCCAACTTCTACATGCTTAGTTTCTGCAAACTCTGTTCTGAGAAAGACTCCAAGATGTCATAGTGACCATATCCGTGAAAGAGCACATTGATTGGTTTCTCCTCTTCTTTCTGATACTCTTCACCATATTTTGCTATGTTAACCAAACCAGACGAGCTTCTATCTACCATGAAGACTGATATCGGTGTCCTGAGCAATAAAAGTTGTGTCAGATATGAATATTAGGCAGGAAGCTATATCCAAGAGTACCTGATAGTTAGTTTCCGCCTTAGAAATGAATCAAGAAAGAAAAAAGGGATTGACACCATATAGTATGCAACCAAACCAACCAAACTTGAACTCTAAACCAAGAAAAGAAAATGCATGTTGCAGCCCATTTGCAAGAAATACACCAATGTAGAATCTGGGAAAAGAAGATGGATAAAGACTAATTAAAGAATATGAAAACACCATGAGAAGAGAAACTATGGGGCCGTTTGATAATAATTTCATTTTTAATTTAACATTTTCCCTTTCACCTTTTTACTGAAAAAGTTTCCAAACTAAATTTTCCATAATGGTAAAGATTGTCCAGCACAAGGACAACGCGACCTATTTATTGAGACCATGCATATGCATATAAGGAGATTCAAACAAAAACCCAAAACATACCATTGATATAAATTAAAGAAAGTCAACCATATACAAATTGAAAACTAAACCAGACGCCAGAGAAGCGCAACACAATCACCAACAATGTAGCCATACTTTTGTAAGAATATCATGGTTAAAAGGTAAAATAAAACACAGTACAAAACTCACTTTAACACATGAGAAGCCATTAGCAACTCAGGTTCACCACCCCAAACATAAGGTTGTTGAAGTCTCTTCACATACGCATCAAAATCACCTTCAATGAACCTAAACATACATAACATAGAATACAACGTACCCCGATTATTTCTCTAACACAAAAACAAAAAGAATCAGTGCAACCTAAAAAAGATTGGCAAAATCCACAATTAAAAAAAAAAAAAAAAAAATTAGAAAAGCTTACCACTCTGTTTCCTTCCGCCTCTTTAAAAGCTCGTCGACAACCTACACCAATCATAATCACTTCCAATAAGACCATGAAACATAAACAATTTGGCAAAAGATTCAATGCCTAAAAATGAATGCAGTTACCTGAGCTCTTAATTCATCAGCAAGATCTCTCTGACGATTCTCATCAGGAGCTTCCTCCCCATTTCTCAAGCAAGCCACGTGGGCTATGGCCCTGAATAGGCATCGGCCATCAGCTAGAACCCCTGTTATTTTCTCAAACAGTATCAATTTAAAGGTTCCGAGTATTGTGACGAAAAATTGAACAAGTTTCCGTCAAACAAACAAATGCAGAAAAAGTAGAAACTTGTGTATGTACCCACAAAGATACACAAAATTTCACTAAACAACGCATCAGCAAAAGCACCCAAAAGCTACCAAAAGGAAAAGTTAAGAAATTAGGGCATTCAGTGAACCAATTAAACAATTCACAACCAAAAAGTTCACCACATAACATTTCTCAATAAACTAATCTTGGTGGACATCCAAATACCCAAAAAACACCTTTTTTTGTCAGTTATTTCAAAAACAAAAATTAATACTTGATACAGAAAACTTAACAACTAACTGAAACCATGTCAATAATTTGATCAAACCGATCTTAGTTAACATTATATACAAAATATGACCTGTGACTCTGTAATCCGCGGCGGAGCTATCAATAATGTTCTCAGGAGAAGCCGAGCTTTTCGAATCACAGTCCGTCTTCGAATTGTAAACGTCATTGTTTTCACCGGGAGCCAAGTCCACAGCCCAATTGGTCGGGGCCAGGCAGTTGCGGACACCAAAGAGTAGCCAAGCGGAATCGGGGCGGTGAAGCCAACGAGCGGGACGTGCATCCCACGCGGCATTCCATGAACCCTCTCGTTCGTAGTGGATGGCCGGCCTGCAGAGATTTCGAGATCTGCTATTGCCGGAAGAGGGAAGCAAGCCGTGCCATATAGATGCCGCACCGGCGCCGCAATCCGAGCCGAGCTGGCTCGAATGGTATCGTCGGTTCTCAAACCCGCAAGAGAAGTTAGCGATTTGTTGATGAATCGGGCGACTGTGGGTTTGGAGGAGGAGGCGGGTTTTGTGAGCCGCCGCCGAGCCGTGGGTAAAGGCTGAGAGGGAACTGACGATCCAAGTCTTGCGGCGCGCGCAGAGAAATCCGAGCATCACCGGAGACTTGTGAAGAAGAGGAGAAGGGGTGTTGATATTTGATAAGCCGCCAAGGGTGATGGAGCTTAAGCTATACACCCATTCAAGCTGGAAATTTGGAGAAGTAGCGTACACCTGTCAGAAGAAATGATTTTGGTTGGTGGCTGCCGCCATGGTTAAATGTGATGATGATGAGATTGTCTTCTGAGGTTTTTGCGAGTGTGAAAGCGAAACATTTTAGGGAAGCCAGGCCGCCGGGCTTTTCACGAGGAAAATGTGATTTTTTTTAATATTTATTTTATTATTTTATTTATTTTGGGTTTTTGTCTCTGAAGTTTGTGATATTTATTTTTGTACGTAAATATGGCATATGCCTTCGAGAGATTCCAGAATTTTCCTTTTTATGGTGTTTTTCATTTTTCTTGATTGTTTATATGATATGACATGTGTGTGAGCAAATATTACATTAAGAAAATAGCACTTTGATTTTTGATGGTAAATTCTAATAGAATTAAATCTTTTAAATTTCAATATCAAAAAAACTTGACTTTATCGTACTTGGAAACGCTACATAGATAGTGGTCGGTTGTTGAGAAGAGGTATAGTTTGCTGTATCAGATCCAGTGAGAATATTAAATTTTGGACGATTATTGGTCAAATTGTGAGCCTCTTCTAAAACCTTTTCTTCAACAACTTTCGTCAACTACGCTTACATCGTATGTCGTTGATTTTTGCTATAGTGGGAATTGGAATATAGAATATTTGATCCATTGTCAATATTCTTGTGAATAGTACTGGTGGCTTGTCAGGCAAATGTATATAAGGACCAACTAGTGATGGTAACTTTACTAGGAAGTCTGCCTATGTGTTGGATTTAGGCATTAATATGAACACCAAGTGGCAATGGAGGTTTATCTGGGAGTTGCATCTCCCTCCTAAAGTGCTCTCTTTTATTTGGCTTTTATTGCTAGACAAATTATTGGCCAATGAACAACGAGTTAGAAGGGGGTTGGCTACGAATCCTTCTCTTAGATAAAATGACGATCAACCTCTACATGCTTAGTTCTATCATGTTGTACTGAATTATCAGCTATTTCTCTTGCTGACTTGTAATCACAAAACAACTTCATGGTATCCTTCGGCTTAAACCCAAGTTCCTAAAGAAGTTTTCGTAGCCAAAGGATTTCACAGATTCCTTGAGCCATACCTCTACATTCGGCCTCAGCTAAAGACTGTGACACCACCTTCTGCTTTTTACTTTGCCATGTCACCAAACTCCCTCCAACGAAGGTAAAATACCCAGAAATAGATCATCTATCAATTACATCTCTTGCCCAATTTGCATCAGTAAACCCTTTAATCCTCAAATGCTTGTTTTTTCTATACAAGACTCATTTTCCAGTTGCCGACTTCAAGTATGCCAAGATATGCATAACAACAACCATATGATCCACATTCGGTGAATGCATAAACTGACTCACAACACTCACAGGATAGGCAATATCAGGACGAGTATGAACCAAATAAATCAGTCTTCTTATAAGTCTCTGATATCTACCTTTATCAACCGATTTCTGCTTCAGATCCAAACACAAATGATGCTTCTCAACAATAGGAATCTCTACCGGCTTACACGCCAACATACCTGTTTCTTTTAGTAAATCTAGTACATACTTACGTTGAGACAAGAAGATACATTTAGACGAGAAAGCAACTTCAACTCCTAGAAAATACTTCAAATCCCTTAAGTCCTTCATCTCGAACTTGACCACGAGATTTCTTTGTAACTTGGACATCTCGTCAACATCATCTCCTGTTATAATCATGTCATCTACATAAATAATCAAGGCTGTTACTTTATTCTGTCTACGCTTCACAAATAAAGTATGATCAAAATGACTCTGACAATATCCTTTCTTTCTCATGACTTGAGTAAATCTACCAAACCATGCATGAGGCGATTGCTTAGGTCCATAGAGTGACTTACGCAACCGACAAACTCCGGTGTTCCCACCATTGCTATATCCAGGAGGAAAAACCATATACACTTCTTCCTCCAAATTTCCATGGAGAAACGCATTCTTCACATCAAACTGTTTTAATGGCCAGCCCATGTTTGCAACTAAAAAGATAAGAACATGTACCGTATTCTTCTTGGCAACCGGGGAAAACGTTTCCTAGTAATCCATTCCATATGTTTGGGTATACCCCTTAGCCACCAACCTTGCTTTGTATCTGTCTACTGTTCCATCAACTTTATATTTAACTATAAATACCCAACAGCATCCCACTGTCTTCTTTCCTGCGAGTAGCATCATCACCTCCCAAGTATTATTTTTCTGCAATGCCAACATTCCTCATCCATTGCTTTAGCCCACTTTGGATCTTTTAGAGCTTCCTCCACTCGAGTTGGTACCTGGATAAACTCCATATTACTCACCAAAGTCTGACGCTCTGGTGCAAGCTTATTGCATGATACATAGTTGGCTATCAGATACTTCACCTTTCCTTTAGGAGAAAACCTATCAGGAGGCACACCTTGATTTTGTCTTGGTGGCAATTTATAAGTACTCAAATCATTACGTGGAATATTTTTATACTTCCGTACCTTCAACTTTAGATCACCAGGGGGAGAACATTGTTGGTAATCTGAGTTGGTTGGATCTAGGGGGAGATGTGACAGCACCAACAGTTCCAGGTTCTACACGTTGTTCGACCACCATATCTCTTCCTAGATCCAACCAACTCAGATTACCAACAGTGTTCTCCACCTGGTGATTGAAGTTAAAGGTACGAAAGTATAGAAATATTCCGTTTCAGAGAAGGTCACATCCATGGTTACATACATGTGCCGAGTCTCAAGATGATAACACTTATACCCTTTTTGGTGAGACAAGAAACCCAAAAAGACACACCGTAGTGCACACGAATCTAATTTACTACGATGTATTTTCTGAATATGAAAATAAGCCACACAACCAAACACTTGAGGAGTGAGAGTATTACTTGACACCACTAGAGCATGTTGAGTGAGGATTTGAAGAGGTGTTTGAAAACCAACCTCTCGAGAAAGCATATGATTAATGACATACACGACATAAGTAACAACTTCATGCCAAAAACGCAGAGGAACCGAGGCTTCAAGAAGTAAGGCACGGGCTGTCTCCAAAATGTGGCGATTTTTACGCTCCGCAACCCCATTTTGTTGTGGGGTATGCAGACAAGTGGTTTCATGGAGAATTCCTTGACCACGGAGAAACTCCTACAACTCAAAATTAATGTATTAGCCTCCATTATCAGAACGTAGAACTTTAATATTTGAAGAATACTATGTCTGAATCATCTTAGCAAAGGACCGAAATATGGCACTAACATCACCTTTATTTTTCAACACATAAAGCCATGTCATACGAGTGCAATCATCAACAAATCTAAAAAACAATCGAAGTCCAAAAGAAGTAACAACTGGAAAAGACCCCTAAACATCGGAATGCACAAGGTTAAACGGAAAAAGTCTTTTATTCATACTAGGAGGAAACGAATCACGATGGCTTTTAGCAAGAATACATATTTCACAATGTAAGTCTGATTCATTTATTCCACTAAATAAACTAGGCAACATACGCCTTAAATAGTCAAAAGATGCATGGCCTAATTAACAATGCAATAACCATACTTCTTGTAAATTACTATCATGGAGCATTCGGACTGCATGAGCTCTTCCAGGAATGACATCATCCACATAGTACAAATCCCTCTCTCTTAGTGCCACGCCCAATTATGTCCTTGGTTTGAATATCCTGAAGTAGACAAAAAGAAAGATAGATTAGAACAACATAATCTAATTGTTCAGTAATCTGTGGTATTGAAAGTAAATGATGTGATAAAGATGGAACAAGTAACTATCGGTGCAACGGGAGAAAGGCCGTGAGATACACTGTATTAGCACCAACAACAAGTGCACAGATGCCATTAGCAATCATAATATATTCCCTATGTGATGTTGTGATATATTGAAACTCATTCTTATCGTATGTCATATGATCCATTGCACCAGAGTCTAGAATACAACCTGTATGATGCTCAGTATTGGAGGCCAAAGGAACATGCCCTACAGTACCTGCAGTGGAGGACAAATCACCATGGGTAAAATGAGTCAACAAAGTTTGGCTAGGGTCATTGGAGGTAGTCTCGGCCTCTTTAGCTTTCGGTGAAGCAGTGGCCAGAGAGGCACAACTTCCAACAACAAGTAAACATTAGTGCAACTTGTATGATGCTCAGTATCGGAGGCCAAAAGAACATGCCCTACAGTACCTGCAGTGGAGGACGAATCACCATGGGTAGAACGAGTCAACAAAGTTTGGCTAGGATCATTGGAGGTAGTCTCAGCCTTCTTAGCTTTTGGTGAAGCAGTGGCCAAGGAGGCACGGCCTCCATTATTTCCCCTACTCCCACACTTCTTTACACGTAGCTTTTTCTTTAATTTTGGAAACCAATTAGGCACCCCATGCTTGGCAAAACATGTATCCTCAATATGACGAGTTTGTCCATAGAAAGTACATTTCAAATCATCTTTATTTTCTCGGGTAAAAGGACTAGAATTTAAAGATTGATTAGAAGGATTACTAAGACGAAGGGCAGTAGCGGGCTGATAGACCATGGCCAAGAACGGTAGTTCTCCTTAGTTGTTACTCCCACCCATCATAATGGCATGTCTTTGAGCTTCATGCCAAACAATAGAAAACATTTTCTCAACAGATGGTAAGGGCTGAGTACGTAGAATGTCACTACATACGATATCAAAGATATCATCCAAACCCGCCAAAACAAAAACATACACACAATCAATTTGAATCTCTTCTCGAAGGGTCTTGAGATCCACAACACACTCCATCTTAACTGGTCTCATTTGATCTAACTCATGCCAAACGGACTTGAGATCAGCGTAATACACACCAACCGACTAGCCCTCTTGATGGAGTCTGAAAGACTGAACCTTTAATTCATAAATTTGAGAAATATCTGAACCATCATAATAGGTCTGATCCACCTCTTCCCAA